TAATGTTTCTTGTGTAACAGTTTGGGGAGAGTGGAAAAGTGCTACTTACAAACAGTTTAAGGGCTGAGTTTCAAATTAAATTAATTTAGTGCTACTTATGAAGAGGTTTATGATTTAAAATAAGATATTTTGAAATTTTAAAATAATAAAAAATAGAAAAAATTAACACTTATAAGACTTGAGTCATATACTTGACAGTGGTAGATACATGTATTTTGCCAAATGCAGAGTTATTCAGGCTACTTCATTTTCCAGCAATAGCACCACAATGTCGGGTCCTCCTGGCTGAGTAGTTGTGTATGAACAACTTCTTTACTGATACAAGATGTTGCAGTTGTACTGTCCATTAGACCTTTCATTGTTCATTTTTGTATCAAAATAATAAAAAGATTTCAGAGTTCACCATTTGGTTTGTATTTCCAGGCTTTTCTTGTGGATCTCGGCTGCTTCTGCATTCTGTTAAATTCTGGAGGGCTGCTCTTACCCTGTTTTGATGATTTATCCAAGAGTGAATAAAGCAATGAAAACCCTCCACTGAGGGTTGGTCTCCACCTAATGAGTGTTGCAGCATGGAATACATCACATCCTGGAGAGCTTGTCCAGAGTCCATTTCTCTTTCAAGACAGAGTTTCTGCAGTTGCTTATGTAGAGAAGTACTACTATGAAACTATTTGATATACCTTTATACTTCTAGGTTTCTAAAATGCAATTTGGCAGATGAAAAGAGCTTGGCCAGAAGCCCGTGCCACATTAGTTTTCCAGGAATGAGCTGTTTGCGATCTGAAGATTACAGCATAGTTCCTGCTGGTGAAGAATTTGGAAGATACTTTGAAGGCATGACCAAAGTATTAGGTCATTTTCTTTTTTTTTTTTAAAGAAAGGTTCACTTGCAGTTATCTTATTAATAGAAAAGATACTTAGCCTTACCTGAAACTCCCGCTGCAGGCGTTGCCTCTGCTGGGAAGGATCCTGTGACTTACAGTGTAGCACCATTTGACATGACTGTCTAGGGAGGAGAGATCTGAAGGATGTGCCAAGCATCCTGAGAAATACGCTCAAAGAGTAGCTACATTGAAGGAGTAGATGATCCTTAAGGTGTCTTACTGCTCCACTTAGTATATCTCACGTATCTTAGGTATCTTACTGTTTTGTTGGAGTGTTTTTGAAGTTCTTATGATTTTGCTTTCTGCATTTGTTGTCTGTGTAGGTTGTTTGCTCTGAATATGGCTTTGAATCCCAAGTTGTTTCTGCTATGTGATATGACATAAATTTTCAAATTATTGTATATCAAAAGGAACATTTTAATTTTCTGTAACAAAAAATTGGAAACATAACATTTCGCTATTAATTTCACGATGGTAATATTCCTTTTTAAAAGCATTGTAAGTTGTCTTCATAGTTAATGTGAAGTGAATAATGTGAATAGTTAATAAAGTCATATCATCAGGACAAAGTTAAGTTTAAGATTCCATAATATATACAAGGCATACTGATTTTTAATGCAAATATTTTGCTGTGGGATTTGTGTAACTTAACTTGAAAAGTCAGACAATGTGTATCAGGCAGTTTTGTTTCTGCACTTTAACACAGTAAAATATTTCTCTCATAAGACGCGATGTCCAATGAAAGAGTATACAGCCATTATATGCAGGGAACATTCCTTTCTGAACTGAAGCAGCATAATTAATTGATCAAAGTATATTGCATCTCTTAGTTCAAGAAAAAACCACATTCTTTAATTACATTGTAAGTGGCTGTCCTTATTTTATCTTGATTATGTAAGATGCATGCCTACAGAGAATTACTGAAGTGATCAATTATTTTTTATTCCTAAGTATCAGCAGTGTTTTCAAATATGGTCCAGTAAAACAGAGAGAAATGTTTGCTGGCCAGCTATTGTGTTGTGAAATACAAAGAGAGAGAAAAAATACACACTTATACATCTCCTTATACTAAGTTGTGCAAATTAAATTAAAATTCATGTATTTTTTTCTAAAAGCATTATTCTAACAGCAGCAATGAGTTTTTGATGTTCCTATCTAAAACTTATTTACACTATGACAATGCTGAGTGCTTTTCTCCTGTGAGCCATTTTCCACAGTGACTGTCCTTGACCAAACCAGAAAATGAATTTGATTTCTCTAATGCAAAAGGTAATTGGATTTTCTTTATGGAATGCATCCCTTAATGACTGTCTCTGCTTCAGCCAATTTAGCTGCTACCGACCTGACATTGATCCGGTGATATGACTTTAAATAAATGCCAAAGCTGGGAGATGAAAGACCAACTGTCTGATATCAGAAAGAACATTTGCTGCCCCGTCTTGCCGCTTTCCTCAGAAAATGTCTCCTTCTTGAATGTCATTCTTATGAAACATGCTACTCTAACAGTTTGCCATAGTGCAGCAGATTGCACCCTTCTACCAAATATAATAAGTATTTCCCAGGAGACATCTGGAGAAAATATTTTGAAAATTGAATAAAACCTCTCGAAATACATGTTCTTCCTTGCAAATATTCATTACTATGTAGGCTCTTCCTAAGACAAAAAGTTGTTGCTAAAGCAGTGGATTAAATCTTTACAGAGGTCTTGTTCAGCATTAAATATTTATTGAAATATTTATGTATTTAATGGGGATCTTATAAAAAAGTATCATGGCATGCTGGTCTGTGAAAAGTTTTACCTACATAAAAGAATTAGTAAAGGTGCTATTTTGGGATATAATCTGTTCTTTCTTCAGGCTAGGCTTAATGAAATCATGAAATCCTAGATTATATTTCTATTTTTTTAACATATTCATAATCTTTTGGACCCAGCCCTTCAGGCTAAGATGCTGAGCACTTTTAACCCCAAATGGACTTGGAACCAAAACTAAAAGTTGAATGTAGTTTTAATTTAATCATGGGCCATGTGAACTTTTTGATAAGTATTGTTAATTTCATTGATTGAAAGTGGTAGCTCACTTTGGATGGTAAACTGGGTTTTAAAACCTCTGTATATCAAAATAAATGTAGAGGAAAATTTAAACAAAATCTTTACTTCAATTTGAAGTTATTTCCTTCTGCAATCTTATCTAGTTATTTTCATACTAATCAAAGCAGTTAGTAATTTCCCACAGTGTATTGATACCACTGACAGTAAGAATTTCTTTTACTTATCTATATTTTGAAGCAGGTGCTCGCCCCTATTTCCTTCATCTGTTCAATTGTTTCTTAATCTTTATGTATGGGTAGGTTTTCCACTCTTCTGAATCTTTTGCACAATGGAATTGGTGAGTTTACTGTAATGTAACTTTCGGTGCTTTATAGTACATTTAACTTGAAGTAAATGGATACGAAAACACAGCTTCCCAGAGGTGCAAGTGCCTGAGGGGTATTCACTGTCCTTGTTTGGCTGAAAGTCATTTTTAATACTTTTGTGTACCACCCAGAAGTAGTGCATGTGTACGAGTCTCTGGACAGAGAAACAGATGGTCTCTTTAGATAGGAATTATGAAAATGAGATTAAATATTTCATACTTCTTAAATTTTGTGCAAGTTTTAAGGGATTTTCGTGTCTCTAGTCCCGAGTGTGCTTTTTTTACTGATACCAGGAAGTGAGAGGAGATGATAAAAGGCAGATAGTGCTTAATTCACAGGCTTGCACTCCCTGGCTGCAGTTGTGATTTCAAGAGTGGAAATTCTGCTGATGCTGCTCTCAGGGAAGTGGGTCCCCACTCCCAGGCTGGACTGGAAAGCTTCGTAGCCATAGAGGAGCATAGCTTAGGTACTGTAGGTTGCTGGAACTTTTAGATGAGTTCCTCTTCTCTTCTTATCTTTGGATCTCCACAGGTTTCCTTGTTTCTCAACACGTGCAATTCTAGGGCCAGAATATGTAGGCCCATATACCTTATCTTGATTGCAAATGACACCAGAGATACTATTTTTCTATTGTCTAACTTTTAAAATTATCAGAACTAAAGCAGGTGTGTCATGTTTTTGCGTTAAAGGGGAGATAAGGGGAGTTTGATAAGCGTCAAAGGGAGAGCCCTCCCATTGAGTCACAAGGTTCAGAGAAGATCCCCTTGCTTTCTAAACTCTCTCTCAGAGGAGAGTCTAGGTGCAGCTGGATCGACTCCTAGTCCCAGACTGGGTCAACGGTTTATGTCTAAAGGGTTAAGTGTGTAGCCACTTCTCAGATTCAGCTTGCCTGTCAGAGCCCCTCCAAGGACTTTCACTGAGACATTTTCGCAAAGTTGAAGCAACAGGTAATTTATTCGAGCAACAGATATCACAGATTTGGAATTGACGTTGATAAATGCACTGTCTACAAAAGTTGAGCGCAAAGTAATAGTTCAGCGCTTTAGTTAACAAAGTGTTCCTGGGGATACGTCTAACAAAGTCAGAGGCGCGACTCTTACCAAAAAGGCGTCCATTCTTGGGGGGGGAAGAGAGGTTCAAGCCCGTCGGCCTGTCCGTCAGGTGAAGTTCTCGCTTGGCTCCTCCTCCCAAAGAGAGTTTTCAAGGGCCAGTTTTTATATGTTTGGAAATCTTTTTGCGAGGTGGGACTAAGTCAATTATTGTGTATTGATTGGCTCTTGGCATGGAATGTCGTGTTGTCAGAAGCGGGACTCAGCAGTGTGACGCGCCTTCGGAGCGGGCATCTTGGTATGTGCATCCGGGGGCCATCTGTGCTTTATCCAAAGCAATCTCTGAAGCAATCTCTGGCTGCACAGCCTCCACGACGTCCCACAGATCACTTGGTTTACAGTGATGGGCTATCCCCCCTTACTTTTGTCTGATAAGATAAGCACCAGTTAATTACTTCCTTTGTTTTCTCTTCGGCTCTTGACACCTCAGTCGAGAGACGCCTCAGTCCAAGTTTGTCTTTCATCTTGCATTTAACAAGTCCAGCAAGGCCATCGATTACACATGTGTAAAATAAATTTTTCATAAAGTCCTTGTTAGTACTTTCTTTTGTGACACCAGTTTACCTGTGTACTATTTCTTCATTCCCTGTAGGTCACAGATATGATGCTTCAGGACAAACCCTACCCAGACTGGGGAAAGTCTGCCAGAGCTTTCTGGAAGAAAGGAAACATTAGGATCATTTTATTCTGGTAGGAAAATAGTAAAATCAAATTATTGTAAATGAACCTTTTGCAGAACATCCAAAAATATATCTTCTGTCTGTGGCAGGAAGAGATATAAACTAAATACATGGTTGGAAAAAAAATGAAACTTGGTGTGACAAAAAATGAAACATTACAAACACTGTACGTGAGTAAACAATTCCTAATCAAAATAGTTGGTGTAAAAATACGATTTTAAGATTGATTTATGTTGTTCCTCTTCTTATATCTTTGACATGGTTTATAATTAAGTAGCAAAATTTTTCCTATATGTGATTATATTTGAATGTCTCATTACCAGTCCTTATAATTAAGGTAAGTAGATATGTGAATGTCCTTTTGTGACCTGGAAATAAATTAGAGTAGTTCCTTGAATTAACACATGTGTAGGATTTCAAATGGTGAGTCAGCCTCAGCCTATTAAGAAAAATATTAAAAAATCACTGTGAAGAATTGTGAGGGGTAAGCATTTATTTGACCCCAAATGTAGCCTCTACTGAGTAAATTCAGTCCGAGTGTAACTGTTGAAACAGAACACAAATTGTGGCAGAAAAAATGGAAGATGGAAAACGTATATTCTAAGATGAAAGAACTTGCAAAGATTTTTTTTCAACTACATCAGAAGCAGAAAAACTCATGAAAGTATCAGAAGACTTGCTGTTTTTTAAAGGGTAGATTTAGAAGGAATTGTTACAGAAAAGCTGAAAGATTTATTTACATAGAAAATGCAATGAAATATCTATACTTTTAAAGCAGTAAAAATGAGATATTAAATTGAGGCAATTAAAGGAAATAATAAGAAAAATTTAAAGACTAGAAAGAAAGGAGAATCAGATGGCTGATGGGCTACAAGCAAGGCTTATAAGGAACTGAAAGGGCTGAGCTGACGCAAATTTTATTAGCATTTAATTGCCGGTTGAAAAACTGAATGTTAAAATTTGGCTATTGTTTTGCTTTTGTTGCTTTTTTTCAGTAAACTAGAATTATCCTACTGGCCTGTAAATCTGAGTTCAGTATTAGCTAAATGGATTGAATACATCACCAGTAACAGAATTATGAGCAAACCTATAGATTAAATTCTGCTAAAAGAAGCCAGTGTAGCTTTGCTGAAAGAAAGCCTTCTCTGATCTGTTAGAACTCTTTGAACGTGTCATGAAAATAGTGGATGAGGAAAAAGTGCTTGATCTAATTTATTTGGACTTTCAAAAGGCTTTTGACAAAGTTCTTTACTGAAGGCAATTAAGAAAACTGGTAAGCCCCATGGAGTGTGCTGAACATTTAGGAATCATCTCAAAAATGTGCAACGAAAAGTATAAATAAAATAATAATTTTCTGCTACATTGAGAAGCCAAGACAGTCCCATCATTTAATGTTAGAAGTAATATTCATTATTTGTATACATCATATATATTAGTGACATGACAGAATTTAAAGATGAGGTGAATAATTTGACAAATGCAAGCATGGAAGAGGGATCTTAGAAAACTAAGTGAAAAATATAACATGATTGAAAAGTTGGGGTGGGACACACTCAAACAGCTCCTCGTCATCATTGTGGGATGTGCAGAGGAAAATTCTGCCTCAGTGTGTTGGGATGGGCAGAAGGGTGAAGCAGGTGAAGAAAAAAATGCTCAGATAGGTACCAAGTGGACTAGCAATGAATACAGTGTCATTTGGTTAGGTCAGCGAAAACCTCAGTCTAGAACATCACTGATTTTTTTTACCCTTGTCTGAAGAATAGCCTTGTCTGAAAGACTGGAAAGGAGATCAGTTAAGAGTCAAGAAAAAACTTAATTGCACAAAAAGACTGGAAGAATGGAAAAAAGGGTTAAAAGCAAGGTGACATGATAGGGAGATTTCAAATTTATATGCCAGACAGGGAGAACAAAAAAACACTATTAAAAGTACTTAATATTGTTGCGAGAGATGTTTTGTCTTCTTGCAGTCTGAAATGCTACAAATCCATGTTTTCTTTGACATAATATTCACATTAACCAAACCTACCAAAAGTTTACATGGAGACAAAGTGAAAAATGATCGTTCTTCTCATGCATGATTCTCATATGAATGAGGATTTCAGAACCTAAAGGGTGACATAAATGCTTTTGTTGTTAGCTTTAAGCAGTGAAATAAAATAGCCCTGGACAACGGTCCAAATTCTGTAGAGACATTATTTAGACAGCACACAGAATCACAGAATCACAGAATAGTAGGGGTTGGAAGGGACCTCTGTGGGTCATCTGGTCCAACCCTCCTGCCGAAGCAGGGCCTCATGTTCAGACGGAACTTCCTGTGCCTCAGTTTGTGCCCATTGCCCCTTGTCCTGTCACTGGGCACCACTGAAAAGAGCTTGGCCCCATCCTCCTGACACCCACCCTTCAGATATTTGTAGGCATTTATAAGGTCCCCTCGCAGCCTTCTCTTCTTCAGGCTGAACAAGCCCAGTTCCCTCAACCTCTCCTCGTAGTGGAGATGCTCCAGTCCCCTCACCATCCTTGTAGCCCTCCGCTGGACTCTCTCCAGTAGCTCTTCATCCTTCTTGAACTGGGGAGCCCAGAACTGGACACAGTACTCCAGCTGAGGCCTCACTAGGGCAGTGTAGAGGGGAAGGAGAACCTCCCTTGTCCTGCTGGCCACACTCTTCTTGATGCACCCCAGGATCCCATTGGCTTTCTTGGCAGCCAGGGCCCACTGCTGGCTCATGGTTAACCTGTCGTCCACCAGGACACCCAGGTCCCTCTCTGCTCTCCAGCAGGTCCACCCCAAGCCTGTACTGGTGCATGAGGTTGTTCCTCCCCAGGTGCAGGACCCTGCACTTGCCCTTGTTGAACCTCATCAGGTTCCTCTCTGCCCAGCTTTCCAGCCTATCCAGGTCACGCTGAATGGCAGCACAGCCTTCTGGTGTATCTACCACACCTCCCAGTTTGGTGTCGTCAGCAAACTTGCTGAGGGTACATTCTAACTCTTCATCCAGGTCGTTGATGAAGAAGTTAAACAAGACTGGGCCCAGTACTGACCCCTGAGGGACACCACTTGTCACCAGCCTCCAACTAGACTCAGCGCCGCTGATGACAACCCTCTGAGTTCTGCCATTCAGCCAGTTCTCTATCCACTTCACTGACCACTCATCCAGCCCACACTTCCTCAGCTTCCCTAGGAGGATATCATGGGAGACTGTGTCGAAAGCCTTGCTGAAGTCAAGGTAGATAACATCCACAGCTCTCCCTTCGTCTACCCAGCCAGTCATGTCATCGTAGAAAGCTATCAGATTGGTCAGGCATGATTTCCCCTTGGTGAATCCATGCTGACTACTCCTGATAACCTTCTTTTCTTCCACTTGCTTGATGATGGCCTCCAGGATAAGCTGCTCCATTACCTTTCCTGGGATGGAGGTGAGGCTGACCGGCCTGTAGTTTCCTGGGTCCTCCTTCTTGCCCTTTTTGAAGATTGGAGTGACATTGGCCTTTCTCCAGTCCTCGGGCACCTCTCCTGTCCTCCAGGACCTCTCAAAGATGATGGAGAGTGGCTCAGCAATGACATCCGCCAGCTCCCTCAGCACTCGTGGGTGCATTCCATCGGGGCCCATGGATTTGTGGACATCCAGATCGCTTAAGCGATCCCTCACACAGTCCTCCTCGACCAAGGGAAAGTCGTCCTCTTTGTAGGCTTCTTCTCTTACCTCCGGGGCCTGGGATTCCTGAGGGCCAGTCTTAGCACTGAAGACTGAAGCAAAGAAGGCATTCAGTAGCTCTGCCTTCTCCGCATCCTCCGTCACCAGGAGACCCGCCTCATTCAGCAGCGGCCCCACATTGTCCCTAGCCTTCCTTTTGCTGCTGATGTAGTTGAAGAAGCCCTTCTTGTTGTTTTTGACATCCCTTGCCAGCTTCAATTCCAGGTGGGCCTTGGCCTTCCTCGTCGCATCCCTGCATGCTCTCACCATTTTTCTGTACTCTTCCCAAGTGGCCTGCCCCTCTTTCCACATTCCATGGACCTTTCTCTTCTGCCTGATCTCCGCTAGAAGCTCCTTGTTTAACCATGCAGGTCTCCTGCCTCCTGTGCTCGGTAGCACACACGTTAGACATCAGTAAAAGCAGACATTTTTTCCCCCTAATAAGTGGGAAAGATAGAGGAGGGAGTATTGATAATATTATGTATGATCTTGTGGGGTATTTGTATTTCACCTATTGTTGCTTAAGCAGCGTCATGGCAGCAGCCTCATTTCTGAAATGTCCTGAATGAAGCATCCTCAGTAGCATGTCCTACACAGATACTGGTATGCCAAAATCCATTTATTCAGGACGTTTCCTAGTGGCACACCTGTTAAGCAGAGATAGTGCAATACAGTGCACTGTATTTTAATTATTCCAAGTACTAGATGTGTGATGCACGGTTTAAAGTGGTTGATGAAACTAAAATTTTAGGTACACACTGGACTTATTTTTCTGTTAATGTCATTTTTATTTTCAACTTTACTTTGTAAAACTGGAAAATGTCTATAAATGTACCAAAGAGAGATGGATTGTCATGGGGATGAAGGCACCATCCACTTGTTTATAACAGTTGATCATGTGCCTGCTTTGTGTTTCTCATTTGGAAATGTTTTCAGCTCTCCAATGCAACTAATTAGCAAAGATTTTGATTCAGCTTATCATCTCCTGTTTTAAATCATTCCCTGGAAACACTGTCAGCAACTGGTTGGTGGTTGTTCCTGAGGATTCTGGCTGCCTTTTGAATGTCTTCACAATATCGTTCTGCCATAAACAGCTCAGCTAGCTCAAAAATTTCTATTTGCTAGTTGCTTTTGTCTAGCCCATCACTAAGGAGTTCATTGAAGTGCTTTCTACTTTGTTTACGGTGGTGAGTTGGCATTTTTTTTATACAAAAATCTTCATTTTGGTCATTTCCAGCCCTGCTAAATGGCTTCTTCCACCATCCAGATGCCCCTTTGCTTAACGCTGTTACAGTCTGTGTTACATTGCATAGGGATA